TTCTTTTTTTTTTTTTTTTTTTGGTATGTGCTTAATTTTTTAAAATAGTTGCTGTATAATTTATTTTCATAAACTATATTAAAAAGTTACTAAAGGGTAAAAAAAAAAAAAACCAAACCCAGACTTGCAGGCCAATCTTTCAGAAGAAGAAGAAAATGTTTTTGATATAAACGGAACAAATGCACTTTTGGGTGTGTTTGGTTATTTTTGGGGGTGGGGAGGGGGAGCCTGGCCGTACCCGTGGGTTCGTCTGTATATATTGTATTAATAGGCATGTTTGGCCTCTCGTGTGGAGCCGTCCGTAACTGCTGCAGGTCCTGTTGGGGAAGCTGGTGTGAAGTTCCCAGGATTTTTGGTTTCATTTGGGGTTTGTTTTTTTTTTTGTGTGTTTTTTTGGTTTTTTTGGGTTTTTTTTGTAAGTGGTCAGTGAGGGAGAGCTGACTCCTGTGTTTGTAACCCATTTCTAGCGTCGTTTTGACTGCCGGGTTTGCTTTTCTTTTGGGGGGTTGTTTTTGTGGTGTTTTTTTTTTTTTTTTTTTTTTTTTTCTTTGGTTGGGGGGGGGTGGGAAGGGAAGAGAGCCGGGGTTTGAAATAAAATGATTGGAAATTGTTTTATGTGCTGTGTGTTGAGTCCTAAGCCTCTGACTCCTCACCCCGGCGTCCGCTGCATCCCCGTGGGGTGGGGACCCGAGGGATGGAGACGCCCAGGTCCAGCTCCTGCTCCCCAACTTCACCTTGTCCCCCTTCCCGCCGCGGGAGCCACGTGCGGTGCTCCCCTCCCCGCGCCCAGGCGCTTTGAACACCCCCGAGTTTGGCAGATCAAAGGCTGCGGAGCGACAGAATGGGGCTGAGGTGGGTGGCACGCAGCCCCCCCCGGCCCCCGGGGGTAGGGACTCGCTGCCCTGGGGGGCTGCATCCCCCCTCCTCCTTCTCCTCCATCGCAGGGGGGTGTTGGGGTGCAGTGGGGCTGGGAACCCCCATTCCTCCCAGCGTGGTCCTGGCCCCGGGGTGGGTGCAGGGGGGTGTCTGCGCTCTGCCCCCGTGCCCCAGCCACGGGCACGGTCCCCAGGACGGGGCTCTGCGTGGGGACAAAGGCCCCATTGATGGGGCCAGACGGCCTCTCCCGGCGGGATCCCACATCTGGGGCCTCCTTGTGAATGTTTTCCCGGCTGGTCCGAGCCCGGGGGCTTGGAGCCAAGATGCCAAGGGCCCCCTCCATCCCCTGCCTGCAGCCGATAAACCCCATGGGCAGGATGCTCCCGGCAGAGGAGGGGAGTGGGGAGGTTTTGGGGTTTGCCCAGCTGTGGGCAGGGATGGCTGCACCCCAGGACTCTCCCTCCTTGGGGGGGGGGCTGCCCCAGGGCTGCGGGGAGCCACGTGCCCGGGGCAGGGATGGGGCACCCCCTCGGTGCCCCCTGCAGCCCCATAAAGCCCCTTTGTCCAGCCGCCTCCGAGCCGCCCTGGAAAAGCCCCAACATGGCTGCGCTGCGCAGAGCTTATTTTTAACATCTCATTAGCATCAGAAAGCA